AACGGCGGTGCGCGATATGGGCCGGCGGAATGAGCGAAGCGATTAAATAATATTAGTAATGGAAGTCGTGGTAGTAGTGGTAGTCGTCGTAGTAGCGGTCGTAGTAATACTTTCCATGGTAGTGATAGTCGTCGTAGCAGTAGTAGTCGTAGTAGTAGTAGTAGTAGTAGTAGGAGTACTAGTAGTAGTAGTCGTAGTAGTAGAGGTAGTAGTAATCGTAGAAGTAATAATACTAATAATACTTGTGATCGTAGTGGTGGTAGTACTAGTAGTAGTAGTAGTAGTAGTAGTAGTAGTAATATATTATTAGTAGTAGTAGTAGTAGTAGTAGTAGTAGTAGTAGTAGTAGTAGTAGTAGTAGTAGTCGTAGTAGTACTAGTAGTAGTAGTAGTAGTAGTAGTAGTAGTAGTAGTAGTAGTACTAGTAGTAGTAGTAGTAGTAGTAGTAGTCGTAGTAGTAGTAGTAATAGTAGTATTAGTAGTAGTAGTAGTAGTAGTCGTAGTAGTAGTAGTAGTAATAGTAGTAGTAGTAGTAGTAGTAGTAGTAGTAGTAATCCCAGTAGTACTAGTAATGGTAGAAATACAAGTAGTAGTAGTAGTGGTAGTAGTAGTAGTCGTAGTAGTAGGAGTAGTAGTAGTAGTAGTCGTAGTAGGAGTAGTAGTAGTCGCAGTAGTAGTAGTAGTAGTAGTAGTCGCAGCGATAACAATACTAGTAATGGTAGTAGTAGTGGTAGTAGTAGTGTAGTGAGAGTAATTGTAATAGTAGTAGTTGTGGTCGTAATGATCATACTAGCTTCGGCAAGCTAATGGGAGTCGTATTAGTATTCGTAGTAGTAGTAGTAGTAGTAGTAATCGTAGTAGTAGTTGTAGCAGTAGTAATCGAAATCGTACTGCTACAAATCAGACTTGTAGTAGTAGTAGTAGTAGTAGTAGTAGTAGTAGTCGTAGTAGTAGTAGTAGTAGTAGTAGTAGTAGTAGTAGTAGTAGTAGTAACCGTAGTACAAGTAGAAGTGGTGCAAGTAATGGTCGTAGTGGTGGTCGTCGTAAGCGTAGTCGTAGTGCTACTGTCCATGGTCGTGGTAGTCGTCGTAGCACTAGTAGTAGTAGTAGTAGTAGTAGTAGTAGTTGTTGTTGTAGTAGTAGTAGAGGTAGTAGTAGTAGTAGCGGTAGCAGCAGTAGTAGTATTAGTAGTAGTAGTAGTAGTAGTAGTAGTCGTAGTCGTAGTAGTAGTAGTAGTCGTCGTAGTAGGTGTAGTAGTAGTAGTGGTCATGGTAGTAGTAGTCGTCGTCGTCGTAGTAGTAGTAGTGGTAATAATAGTAGTAGGCGTAGTAGTAGTAGCAGCAGTAGTAGTAGTAGTAGTAGTAGTAGTAGTAGTAGTAGTAGTAGTAGTAGTAGTAGTAATAGTAGTAGTAATAGTAGTAGTAAAAGTAGTGGTAGTAGTAGTAGTAGTAGTAGTAGTAGTAGTAGTAGTAGTAGTAGTAGTCGTAGTAGTAGTAGTAGTAGTAGTAGTAGTCGTCGTCGTAGTAGTAGTAATGAGAGTAGCCGTAGCAGTAGTAGTAGAATTGGTCGTAGTAGTACTGGAAATATTAGTAAACGTAGTCGGAGTCGCATTCGTATTCGTATTCGTATTCGAAGAAGAAGAAGTAGTCGTAGTAGTAGTTGTAGTAGTAGTAGTAGTAGTAGTAGTAGTAGTAGTAGTAGTAGTAGTAGTAGTTGCAATAGTCGTAGTGGTAGTAGTCGGAGTAATCGTAGGAATGCTAATGCTGGTAGTGGTGGTGGTAGTAGTAGTAGTAGTAGTAGTAGGAGTGGTAGTAGTAGTAGTAGTAGTAGTAGTAGTAGTAGTAGTAGTAGTAGTAGTAGTAGTAGTAGTCGTAGTAGTAGTGGTAGTGGTAGTAGTAGTAGTAGTAGTAGTAGTAGTAGTAGTAGTAGTAGTAGTAGTAGTAGTAGTAGTCGTAGTCGTAGTCGTAGTAGTAGTAATAATATTACCAGTAATCGGGAGCCCCCCATGGGGCCGCGAAGCGCTGTGGATCGCATGCGAATGCAGCCATTGGGGCCTCAGCCACTGGGGCTTCCCTTCCGGTGGAGGAGGGCGGGCGGTTTTCAAAATGTTGCTCTCGCCTAAGCGCGGCGCGCATTCGTTTTAACATTTTCCAAGAGTTTCACGGATTGAGGGCGGGTGGTTTTGAACATGTGGCTCTCGCTTTCGCCTTAGCGCGGCGCACAGTCGTTTAAACATTTGGAAGAGCTTCACCACTTGAGGGCGGTTCCTTTTCAAAGTACGGCTCTCACGTTAGCGCGACGCACATTCCTTTTGAGCATTTGCAAACGCTTCGCGGATTGAGGGCATGTGGTTTTCAAAATGTGTCTCTCGCCTTAGCGCGGCGCGCATTCGTTTTAACATTTTGCAGAAGTTTCACGGATTGAGGGTGGTTCCTTTTCAACATGTGGCTCTTGCCTTAGCGCCGCGCACATTCGTTTGCAACATTTTCAAGAATTTCACGGATTCGCATCATCAGCGTGCCAGACCTTGTGTTTTGGAAAGGGTTCAGGATTATGCGGGTGCAACAATTACGTTGGTTCTGTGCGCTGAAATCCCAGGGATGGCGTTCTGGCACGATTCAGGATCGTCAGGACGCAACAGTCAGGTTGATCCGTGGCATTGGAATCCTGGGGGCGATGTTTTGGCATGCTTCAAGGTCATCAATCGGTTGTCTTCCAACGAGGCAGTTCCCTCAATGGAAATGAACCGTTGCAGGGGACTATGAAGAGGGAGCTTTTTGGGAGGGTTGACTCCAACATCGCTGATGACTCTTGGGCTTACACCGCTCCTCCTCCTCCTCCTCCTCCTCCTCCTCCCCAGCCTCCTCCTCCTCCTCCTCCTCCCCTCTCCTCTCGTGCTGCTCCTCCTCCTCCTCCTCCTCCTCGCCTCCACCTCCTCCTCCTCCTTTCCTCCCTTCCTCGTGTCCTGCTCCTTCTACCTCCATCCTCCTCCTCCCTCCATGCTCTCGCCTCCTCTCACTCCTCCTTTTTTCTACCCCCTCCCTTTTCTACCTTCCTCCTCTTCTCCTCCGCTCCACCTCCTCTTCCTCCCCCCTCCCTCTTCTCACCTCCGACACGCCTCCTCCTCCTCCTCTCCTCCATCCGCTCGATCCTCCTTCTCCCTCCTCCTTCTTCCTCCTTCTCTCCTCCTCCTCTCCTCCTCTCCTCCTCCTCCTTCCTCCTCCTCCTCCTCTCCCCTCCTCTCCTCCGCCTCCTCCTCCTCCCCCTCCTCCCCCCTCCCCCTCCTCGTCCTCCTCGTCGTCGTCGTCGTCCTCCTCCTCCTCCTTCCTCTACTATTCCTTCGTCCTTTTTTTCTTCCTCCTCCTCCCCCCGCCCCATCCCCCTCCCCCTCCCTCCTCCTCCTCCTCCTCCTCCTCCTCCTCCTCCTCCTCCTCCTCCTCCTCACCCCCCTTCTCCTCCTCCTCCTCCTTCTCCTCCTCCTCCTCCTCGTCCTCCTCGACCTCCGGGTGGAGGGGGGGAGAAGGAAGGGAATGGGAGGAGAGGAGGAGAGGGGGGGGGAGTGGAGAAGACGAGAGGAGACGGGAGGAGGGGAGGAAAAGAGAGGAGAGGAGAACATGTGAGGAGATGAGACAACAGGGGGAGAGGACAGGAGGAGGGGAGAGCAGAGGAGGAGAGGAGGAGATGAGAGGAGGAGAGGAGAAGAGGAGAGGTGAGGAACATGCGAGGAGTGGAAGGGAGAGGAGGAGACGAATGGAGAGGAGAGGAGGGAGAGAAGAGGAGGGAGGAGAAGAGAGGAGGAGAGGAGAGGAACACATGGCAGTAGAAGAAGAGATGAGAAACCGAGAGGAGAGGAGAGGAGATGACTGGAGGAGAGGACTGGAGGAAAGGACTGGAGGAAAGGAAAGCAGAGGAGGAGGAGGAGGAGGAGGAGGAGGAGAAAGAGGAAGAGACAAACGCCCGAATACCAGGGGATCCGGAAGGCGGGAACCTGTAACTTCGGAGTTCCGGGTTTCTGGGCGGGACACCTAACGAGCAATCCGAAGTTCTGGGTTCCCGCGTCGCCCCCGCCTGGACGCGACCGTTTCCCCTTATTCTCGTCCTCGTCCTGGTACTCCAACTCCTGCTCCCTCCTCTTCATCTTTTTTTCTCCTTTCTCCTCCTCCTCATGCTTCTTCTCCTTATCCTCCTCCTCGTCCTTCTTCTCCTCCGCCATACTTATCATTGTCATCATCATCATCATCATCATCATCATCATCATCATCATCATCATCATCATCATCATCATCATCATCATCATCATCATCATCATCATCATCATCATCATCTCCATCATCATCATCATCATCATCATCATCATCATCATCATCATCATCATCATCATCATCATCCTCATCAGTATCATTGTCCGCATCACCACCATCATCGTTATCATCATCATCATGATCATAATCACCGTCGTCGTCGTCACCATCTATTTCGTTTCCTTCATGCTCATCATCATCATCATCATCATCATCATCATCATCATCATCATCATCATCAGCAGCAACATAATCATGATCGTCAGCATCGTCACCACCATGGTCAGCGGCGAAAAGAAGCCATTTTGGGTTCCTGACGGGGCCCTCGAAGGCCCCTTTGGAGGCCCTCAAAGGCTTCTTTTCTGGAGCCCTCGCTGCCCCCCCATTTTGTCGCCCCCCATTGCGCGACGCCCAACTTACAGGGGATATGTCGGCCCCTATCCCAGGCTTCGTGGGGTTTTCGTTTGGACTAAAAATTTGGGACCCAACCCTGGGATATACGATGAGGGGCGTCCATCCTCGATAGGGGTGCGTCCGAGTAGCCCCCTCGGGGTGTATCCCAGGGTTTCCCTCCTGTTCTGGGCGGCTTCCTTTTTCGCCGCAGAGTCAGGGGCTCGCCTGCGACCAACCAGAACGCTCCGAGAGCGTTCCGGAACGCTCTGGGACGGATTGTTACATCTCGAGTCCAGGCCCGACCGACCTCTGCCGCCGGGAGGCGAGCTCCTCGGCGGCCTCGCTAGAGCTCTGCGGCTGCTGCTCGCTCGCCCGCGGCCTCCTGTTTGGACGCGCGAAATGGGTACGGAACAATTTATCGCCGATCAAACACGGGTCTGACGCGAGATGACACAGCGACCTTATGCGGTGGCTTACGCGGTCCGCCAGCGCGGCACGCCACACTGGAAACGAGGGCGCTTACGCGCGACTTGACGCGGGGAGCTCGCGTGCCAATGTCGGCGCAGACGACCCCTTGCGTCGCTCACGATGCCCAACAACAAATGTTGCCCAAAACTGACAGCGGCCGCTGTTGGGCAGGCGGCCTTTTGTCTCAAATGGACAACGTCCGCGGCGGCGCGGACAGCGAGTCCTGGTCAGAATGAGCAGCGAACTGCTGTTGGAGCCGGCTTTTTCCCAACCATCCTGTGGTGTTGGGTTCTCATTTTGAAGAAACAACGCCCCGCGTCCCTCCCTCCCCCTCCTCCCGCCTCCTCCTCCCTCCTCCATTATCACCATCATCTCATTATCCTATCATCCTCATCCATGCGTTCCCCCATCGATTTCGGCACACCCCGCACACGCTTCCTGGCCCCATGGGGAGCACCGCCGAAGGTCCCACTGGCGGAACTCGCACGCGGTTCCCCTCCCAATACACATTTCGTGTCCCAATAACGAGCCTCACCGAAGGTTCCCGTGGTGGAACACGCATGCGGTTCCCCCGCCCAGTACAACGGTTCGTGGCCCCATAAGAAGGTTCCAGTGGCTGTGCTCGCATGCTATCTGCTATCCCCCACCCAGTGCAGCGTTTCGTGGCCCCATGGGGAACTTCGACGAAGGCACCGGTGGTGGAGCTTGCATGCGGCTTCCCCACACCCAGTACAACGTTCCGTGGCCCCATAGGGAGCTCCATCGAAGGTCCGTCCCAGTGGCGGTGTCCGCATGCGATGCCTCCACCCAGTACAGCGCTTCGTGGCCCCAAAGGGAGCTCCACCGAAGGTCCCAGTGGCGGAACTCGCATGCGGTTCCCCCACCCAGTACAGCTCCACCGAAGGTCTCAGTGGCGGAACTCGCATGCGGTTCCCCCGTACAGCGGTTCGTGGCCCCATAAGAAGGTTCCAGTGGCTGCGTTCGCATACTATCCCCCACCCAGTGCAGCGCTTCGTGGCCCCATAGGAATCTCCGCCGGAGGCGCCCGTGGTGGAGCTTGCATGTGGTTTCCGAACACCCAGTGCAGTGTTCCGAGGCCGCATAAGGAGCTCCACCGAATGTCCGTCCCAGTGGCGGAACTCGCATGTGGTTTCCCCCGCCCAGTACAAGATTTCGTGGCCCTATGGGGAGCTCCACCGAAGGTTCCAGTGGCGGAACTCGCATGCGGTTCCTCCGCCCAGTACAATGTCTCGTGGCATGATAGGGAGCCCCACCAAAGACCCCAGTGGCGGAGCTCGCATGCGGGTCCCCCGCTCAATACAGCGTCTTGTGTCTCCATAGGGAGCTCCACCGAAGGTCCCAGGGGCGGAGCTCGCATGCCGTTCCCCCACCCAATACAATGGTTCGTGGCCCCATAGGGAGCTCCAGGTTCTGAGAGCCATGAGGGAGGAGGTGACGTTGCACGTCGACAAGGCGGAGTACCACGCCCAGGCACGGTTGTTGAAGCAGCACAACTATGGGGCCATGATCCTCCTGAGAGGTGCGCCGAAATGGCCCGCGGCCGCCATGCAAACCCTGCCACTGGCGCCTTCGGTGGAGCTCCTATGGGGCCACGATCCTCGTGATGGGTGTGCCGAAATGGCCCGAGGCCGCCATGCGAACCTTGCTACTGGCGCCTTCGGTGGAGCTCCTATGGGGCCACGATCCTCGCGAGGGGTGTGCCGAAATGGCCCGAGGCCGCCATGCGAACCCTGCCAATGGCGCCTTCGGTGGAGCTCCTTATGGTGCTGGTGCCCACGAACCGCGTGATGGGTGTGCCGAATGGGCCGGGGCCGCCATGCGAACCCTGCCACTGGCGCCCTCGGTGGAGCTTCCCACAGGGCCACGAGCCGTGTGAGGGATGCGCCGAAATGAGCTGGGGCCGCCATGCGAACCCTGCCACTGGCGCCTTCGGTGGAGCTCCCTATGGGGCCACGTTGGGCATTCGCTCGAGCTCTTTATGGGGCCACGAAACGTGTGAGGAGTGTGCCGAAATGGCCCGCGGCCGCCATGCGAACCCTGCCACTGGCGCCTTCGGTGGAGCTCCGAATGGGGCCACGATCCTTGTGAGGGGTGTGCTGAAATGGCCCGAGGCCGCCATGAGAACCCTGCCGCTGGCGCCTTCGGTGGAGCTCCTTATAGGGACCACGAAACGTGTGAGGGGTGTGCGGAAATGGGCCGGGGCCGTCATGCAACCTTTCCCTCTGGGGCCTCAGGTGGAGCTCCCTATGGGGCCACGAAACGTGTGACGGGGGTGCCGATATGGGGCGAAGCCGCCATGCAACTTTTCCCTCTGGGGCCTTAGGAGGAGCTCCCTATGGGGCCACGAAGCGTGTGAGGGGTGTGCCGACATGAAGCGAGGCCGCCATGCAACTTTTCCCTTTGGGGCCTCAGGTGGAGCTCCCTATGGGGCCACGAAACGTGTGAGTGGTGTGCCGAAGTGGGGCGGGGCCGTCATGCAACCTTTCCCTCTGGGGCCTTAGGTGGAGCTCCCTATGGGGCCACGAAGCGTGTGAAGGGGTGTGCCGAGTTGGGGCGAGGCCGTCATGCGAACTTTCCTTGTGGGGCCGCCAAGAAACGTATGAGGGGTGTTCCGGAATGGGTCAGGGCTGGCAGCGCGGATGCCCAGGATGACTATGAAGCAGAGGTTGATGCTGATGATGATGATGATGATGATGATGATGATGCTGATGATGAGGGAGGAGGGGGAAGAGGGAGGAGGGGGATGATGATGGGGATGATGATGATTCTGATTCTGATTCTGATTCTGATGATGATGATGATGATGAGGGGGAGGAGGAGGAGGAGGAGGAGGAGGAGGAGGAGGAGTGAGTGAGTGAGTGAGTGAGTGAGTGAGTGAGTGAGTGAGTGAGTGAGTGAGTGAGTGAATGAGTGGGTGGGACGCGGGGCGCTGTCTCTTCAAAACGAGGACCCAACACCACAGAATGGTTGGGACAAAAATCGTTAGACCGCCTGTCGCCCAGAGGGCTGGCGGGATTATTCGCGATACTGGGCGTGATCGGGGGATGGGGGGGGATTGCGTCCCCGCCGATCATATCACGGCGGGGTGCCGCTGGATAGGAAATCCTCGTGGGACATCTTTTGCACATGCGGGCTTAGCATAACGTGATTCGGGGGGAGGGCCGATCACGGTCCTGATCGCCCAAACCTACAAAACTGGCTCCAGCGAACTGCTGCTGGGCATTGTACCCTGAGATCCGACGCCCGGAAAAAATAGCTTGGCGAAGGACCCAACCATGTGCAATTGTGAATGCCGCAATTGTGAATATCATCTTCGCCCGCGCTCCCTATGTGGCCACGGCTTCCCGCCGGAACCCGACATAACATACTCAGGAACACGTTCGTGGCCGTCTTCACGGGCGCCGACGACGATAAGGACGGCGTCCCCCTGACCGAGGAGCAGAAGCAAGAGAAGGCTTTGAGAGCCGTGAGGGAGGAGGTGGCGTTGCACGTCGACAAGGCGGAGTACCACGCCGAGGCGCGGTTGTAAAAGCAGCACAACCATGGGGCCACGATCCTCGTGAGGGGTGTGCCGCAATGGCCCGGGGCCGCCATGCGAACCCTGCCACTGGCGACTCCGCTGGAGCTCCTGTGGGGCCACGATCCTCGTGAGTGGTGTGCCGAAATGGCCCGAGGCCGCCATGCGAACCCTGCCACTGGCGCCTTCGGTGGAACTCCCTCTGGGGCCACGATCCTCGTGAGGGGTGTGCCGAAATTGCCCGAGGCCCCCATGCGAACCCTGCCACTGGCGCCTTCGGTGGAGCTCTCTCTGGGGCCACGATCCTCGCGAGGTGTGTGCCCGAATGGCCCGAGGCCGCCATGCGGCCTCGGGAGGAGGAGGAGGAGGAGGAGGAGGAGGAGGAGGAGGAGGAGGAGGAGGAGGAGGAGGAGGAGGAGGAGGAGAGGAGGAGGGAGGAGCAGGAGGAGCAGGGGAGGAGCAGGAGCAGGAGGGAGGAGGAGAGGAGGAGAAGGAGGAGGAGGAGGAGGAGGAGGAGGAGGAGGCGGAGGAGGAGGAGGAGGGAGGTGGAGGCGGAGGCGGAGGCAGAGGCGGAGGCGGAGGCGGAGGCGGAGGAGAGGAGGAGGAGGAGGAGGAGGGGAGGAGGAGGAGGAGGAGGAGGAGGAGGAGCAGGTGTATGATGATGATGATGATGAGGAGGAGGAGGAGGAGGAGGAGAAGGAGGAGGAGGAGGAGGAGGAGGAGGGAAGGAGGAAGGAACGCGGGGCGCCGTCTCTTCAAAACGAGGACCCAACACCACAGGATGGTTGGGAAAACTCGAGTCGCCAGGATCTTTGGATGCCCACTCTTTTCCTGCCCAGGTCGTTCGTGCCGATCCTGGGGGACTGCGGCGCGGGGCCGCTGGGAGCGCCGCGCGCGGCGCCGCCGCGGGGGGACTGCGGCGCGGAGCCGCCGTCGGGGGCGCCGCGCGCGGCGTCGCCTTTCGGGAACGTCCACGAGGGGGGCGTCCAAGAGGGGGGGCATCCAGGGAGGGGGGGGGGCGCGTCCAACCCAGACCCCCTCGCGTTGTGGCAAAAATCACGCCGGGAGGTTTTTCGCGATTTTCGGCCTCTGGGGGCCCTTACAGTGCCTCGGGGCCGTCGAAAACGACGCAGGATGAGAAGCTGGTCCTGGGGAAGGGGTCCAGGCTTCTGGCGGTCGACGTTGTGAACAAATCACGACGTCGGGGGGTCTGGGAAGAGGGGGGGTCGCAACTCATGGCCCGAGGTATGTGCGCGGAAGAAGTGGGCGGGGGCCAGGGGGCGCCTTGAGGGAAGAGAAGGAGGCCATGAAATCCAGGCAAGCATCATTCGGGGTCCACCAACGGGGGGGGGACCCCGAGGGGTGGGCGCGAGTTCGATCCGCTGGTGCATCGAATTTCCGAAAAACGATGCCCCCCGCGCGCCCCGATTGTCGACGCCTCTTGGGTTCCGGCGGCGGCCGGAGACCTCGTTCTGCATCGTTTCTCTGCGGTACGATGGCCAACATACCGAACTCCCCCCCCCCCTTGTGCCCCCCCCCACCTTTGCGAGGTCCCGAATCATGGCCCAGGCCATGATACCCCCTCCCAGGCATCCCCCACCCCCCTTTCCCTCGACGCCCGCCTGCTGGTCTTCGGATCACAACTCGGGCCTCCAGCGGCCGCTCGGGAAGATCCAGGCGCTCCCGGGAAGCGCTCGACGAGGCGCAGCTGCCAGAGCGCACCCCCGAGGCGAGGACACCCTGCAGGAACCAGCGACGCATTACTGCCCCCTCGGAGATCCAACGCCTTTTGTTGGCGGCGAGCGCTGGGGGGGAATTGAGAAGGGGCGGGTCTTCTCAGAAGGCTCCGAAAGCCTCGGACCTTCTGAGAAAATTTCGGAGCCTCCTCCGAAGACACAGAAAACCTCTGCGAAGGCTGGAGGGCTTCTGAGAAGCCCCGTCGCCTTCTGAGGAGGCCTGCTCCTCCTCCTGGCCATCGCTCGGACGTCCATTCCCCGTGTTCTTTTCGGTTTCGTGCGTGGTTTCTTCGCCAAATGCTCAGGGATGCTCCTCGATGGTCCCCGCCGAAGGACACATGTGCACGCCCGAGCAGCGACGCCAAACCTCGCTCCCCCCCCCCAGGCGCGCCGCCGATCTCAGACACGGCCCTGGGGCCCGCGGAGGGCCCCGAGGGCCCGAGAACGGCGAACCCCCCAGGAAGGCCCACACTGGAAGGGACCCCTGGCGACCGAGAGGTCCCACGCCTCTCGGGCCCGGCGCCCCCCCTCGGCCGCCCCCGAGCCGCCTCGGGGCGACTGCGGCGCAGCGCCGCCGCTGAGGCTGCAGCGGCGCAGGGCGCCGTCGCGCGGGGGCCGCGGTGCGGAGCCGCCAGCGCCGGGGGCGTCGCGCGCGCAGGGCCGGGGCGCCGCGCCGCCGCGCTGCAGCAGGTCGACGCCGTCCCCGGGCCTGGGCGCGGGGGGCCCGCTCTTCCGGACTCCTCTCGGGGTTGAAGGTGGGGGGGGAAGAGGAAGAGGAGCAGGAGGAGGAGGAGGCGGGGAGGAGGAGGAGGAGGAGGAGGAGGAGGAGGAGGAGGAGGAAGAGGAGGGGGGGAGGGGGAGGGGAAGGAGGAGGAGGAGGCGGAGGAGGAGGAGGAGGAGGAGGAGGAGGAGGAGGAGGAGGAGGCGGAGGAGGGAGGAAGGAAGGAAGAACGGAGGAAGGCCGAAGGGAGGAAGGACGGAATGAGGAGGAGAGGAGGAGGAAGGAGAGGAGGAGGAGGCGGAGGAGGAGGAGCGGAGGCGGGAGGAGGAAGGAGGAGGAGGAGGAGGAGGAGGAGGAGGAGAGGAGGCGGAGGAGGAGGAGGAGGAGGAGGAGGAGGAGGAGAGGAGAGGAGGAGGGGAGGAGGAGGAGGAGAGGAGGAGGAGGAGGAGGAGGAGGAGGAGGACGGGAGGAGGGAGGAGGAGGCGGAGGAGAGGAGGAGGAGGAGGAGGAGGAGGAGAGGAGGAGGAGGAGGAGGAGGAGGAGGAGGAGGAGGGGAGGAGGAGGAGGAGGAGGAGGAGGAAGGAGGAGGAGGAGGAGGAGGAGGAGGGGGAGGGAAGGAGGAGGAAGAATTCGGCCTCCTTCCTCGTCATGATATCTACGCATCTCCTCCTTCCCCCTTCTTCCTTCTGTCGGCCTGTCGTGCTCCCCTTTCTTTACACCGATTCTCCGCCAGCCAGCGACTCCTGGAGCGGTGCTCCAGGAGTCGCCTGGCTTTCTATTGTTCACCTCCCCCAAGGCCGACCTGCCCAGGGGGGGGAGGGCAGCGTTCGGAGAACTCGCATGCCATCAGGAGCCAGGAGCCAGGATGAAGAAGAGGAACTTAGAGGAATCATCAGGAACCAGGAGCCAAGAGGAATCAGGAACCAGGAAGCAAGAAGGAGGAAAGAGGAAAGAGGAAAGAGGAGGAGGAGGAGGAGGAGGAGGAGGAGGAGGAGGAGGAGGAGGACTGAGGAGGAGGACTGAGGAGGGGGGCCATCCCCTTACAGCCACGCAGCGAGTGCTCCGTACGGGTACTTCCGTCCTCTCTCTCTCTCTCTCCTTCTGCCTCGGCCATTGCCTTCTCCTCTGCCTCCGCCTTTGCCTCGCTCGAATCGCTCCCCCAAATGCTGCGCGGTGGCGCCGCCGTCTCTCCCGTTTTTGTTGTTCTCTCTCTCTCTCTCTGTCTCTTTTTGTTGTTGTTGTTGTTCTTTCATTTTTTTTTTTTTTTTTTTGTTTTTTTTTTTTTTTTTTTTTTTTTTTTTTCTCTCTCTCTCTCTCTCTCTGCGCTAAAGTGTTCCTAGAGGCGGCTGGCTTCCAACACGCCTTTTCGAGCAAAACGTTTCAGGCCCCTCCAAGTGGTGCTCCCGCTGCAGCGCTGGCCACAAGTTAGGATCAGATCCCTGCCCCCGTCGTTCCAAACGGCGCCCTCGTCCCTGCGCGGGCCCACACCCTCGTCCCTGCGCGGGCCCCACACTTGGATCCGATGCCATTCTCGCTGTTGCCGCCCGCTCCTCTCCACTCTTCCGCCGTCCCCAGGTCCCGGTGCTCGCCTCGCTCCTGGATATTCATGCGCAACCTCCTCCTCTCCCTCCTCCTGCTCCGAGGTACACGCCCCCCCCCTCTCATTGTGCTGCGCACGGTGGGATCACTTTGGGGATCAACGCCCCATTGGGCACCCCAAGCCGCGGAGATACCACTTAACATGGACAGGGGTGGGTGAGATGGGCCGGATGTCAGGTATGGCGCGAGCGCGCTGGTCTGATACGGATCCTGATCTTCTCTCTCCTCTGTCACTGTGCGGCTGTTCCTCCGCCTCTCCCTCGCATCGTCCTCAGGCGCACGCGCACACACCGTCTCTCGGACCACGTCCCCTGGATATCCCGAATGGGGGTTCTGCTTGTTGGTGGGACTTCCGCGCTTCCGTCCTAATCGCTCCCGCCTTCTACACTCAGAGCCGTTCGTGCCCAGCTCAGCTAAGTCGCACTCAGCCTTACCCACACTCAATCTCTCATGTTCCAACTGGTCACACCCAGACTCGCTCGTACTCAAATTCGATGATACTCTAATTCGCTCGCACTTCAATTCGCTCACACTCAAGCCACTCGCGCTCATATTCACTCACACTAATAAGACTCACTCGTACTGAGTCGTATTCACTCAACCTCACATTCACTCACACTCAGACTCGCCCACGCTCTAATTCATCCGTGCTCAAATATTCCCCGATCAGATCTTGCCAGTGGGGGTCCTAGCAGATTCATAAGGTTGGGTGAGGTGCGTCGGGAACTTCCTAAGTGCCCGGGTGCCTGGGCGGCGGGTGCCCGGTGCGTCAGGAATTTTCCGGGTGCCCGGGTGCCCTGGCGGCGGGTGCCCGGGTGCCCGGGTGCCCTATAGCCCTACAGCCCTATAACCCTATAGCCCTGTATCCCTATAGCCCCGTAGCCCTACAGCCCTACAGCCCTATCGCCCAACAGTCCCCGAGGGCTATGCCCCTATAGCCCTATAGCTCTCTAGCCCTATAGTCCAATAGCCCCGTAGACCTATGGCCCTATCGCCCCACAGCCGTATTGCTATATAGACTTGTAGCCCTGTAGCCCAATAGCCCTATATACCTATGGCCCCATAGCCCTATAGCCCTATAATCCTATAGCCCTATAGATCGATAGCCCCAACAAAAAATCGGATTGGGGCTTCTCTCTGGTATCATACGTATGTTTGGATTCGTGTGTAACCGCATTCAGCCGTAACGTCACCACGATGTAGTAGGCATAAATCTCGGGCACCCCAAGGAAGAGTCGCCAGGGGGAGGGGGGAGGCACTGGCCAGTTCGCGGCCACATTGAGGGGATGTTTCGATCGGTTCGCTGTTTTGGCGTCGCCGACCAATCCGTTTTTGAGAGCGACCATCGCCGTATAGCAGCCATGACAGTCGGGAGTTCCAATGAGGAGCCGCCACATGGGGTGGGGCACTTGCCCATTCGCAACAACTTGGTGGGAATGTCTCGAATCGTTCGCTTGTTTGGCGTTCTCGACTCCTCTCTGTTAACGGGCCTCACATGACCACTGCGGTATGGGAGGCGAAGAGTTCGGGAGGAGCCGCCAAGGAGGCCTCATGATCACCGCGATGCAACAGGCAGCGCGTCTGGGCCACCGAAGGGGGGGGGGCCACTCAGATGCTCGCGCGGAATTGCCAGGAACTGAAGTCCACGTCTGTGAATCTCCGCGCCGCGGTCCTTTTCAGTGCTTGTTTTCTTCCTGGCACTGGCACCTCCCACCCGAGAAGAGCATCATAACCACTCATTTTCCGAAATTCACTTCGACGGGCGTGCCAGGCGCGGGGCGCTCCATCCGCTTAGGTGGAGGCTCTGGCCCCCGCGGCGCGCCGCGGGGAAAATCGAGCGGGGCGGGGGGGCGGACAGCGAGAGCCGCGCGTCAGCGCTAGAGCGGAAATGGCCCCGGACGATGCGAGCATGCCCGCCGTAGGTGCTAATGTGCCACTCGCATGATAAATCATGCGCGCTGCACTGGCACCCCCCCGCCCGAGAAGAGCATCAGAGCCGCTCATTTTCCGAGTGCCACTTCGACGGGCGTGCCAGGCGCGGGGCGCTCCATGCTCTGGCCCCCGACCGCCCCCGCCGTCTGGCACCTCCATGCAGCCCCTGAAGCACCGGGCAAATGCGACTCGGTGCTCAAAAGGGGCCATGGCGTGCGCAGCCAGCCCGGACCTCCAGCCACATCGCGTCACCCAGGCAGCCGCGGGCATGGTGGGCGGCCCGACGAGGACGGCGTGCAAGACACCGGATTCGCGGTTGAGCACCTTCCTGACCGGGTTGCTCCCGCCGGCGCAGGCGGGCAGCTGCAGCTCGTCCTCCGGGCGAACCGCCGTGTCCTGCAGCTCGCAGCGCAGCAAATGGCGTCCCGGCTCCGAACGTACCTCGTCGAGCACCATGTCGACGAGACCCTCTGGGGTCGACTGGCCGCGGCGGAGCTCGCCGAACTCGGATCGCAGCTCCGCGACCTGGCCAAGCGCGGACTCGAGGTCGAGGTTGCTGCCAGCGCGCCTGGCCCACTCAGCGGCCGCGTCCAGCGATGCCTCCCGCGCGTGCCCCTGGGCGGCGGATGAGCCCCAGTGCCCCGGGAGTTGGATCGCCCGCAGGTCGACCCCGAGGCGCGCCAGGCCTTGCGCCCCGGTGGGGCGAAGGCTGTGGCCCCCGACGCGCTCAGAGCCGTCTGGCGCCGCTGATCTGGCCCCAAACGGCATGTGCTGGGCACGACGGGCGAGGGGGCTGGCCAGGGGTGCGCGAGCAGCCGTGCGTCCTCGCCACGCCCAACGCTGTCGCGTCCGTCTTCGACGCTGGCAAATGCCACGTTACCGCAGGGCGGTCGCCCCGCACGAGTTCAATGAGGCACGCTCTGGCCGTGGAAAGCTCGATCTCCCGGGTCATCCGCCATGCCCCGGCCGCCATGGTGCTTCTGGGGCCGATGGGCCCCCTATGTTCTAAGCGCCGTGGCCTCCTGGGAGGTCGCCCAGCCGCTCGAACCGCAGGGGGCGCGCCTTGACGGCGAGGCCCACGCCGCGCGAGCAGGAGCGTAAGCTGTCCTTCGCAGCCCGCGCGAAATCGGCCTGCAGGGTGAAGCCGGCGCGCTCTGCGAGGGCCCGGCACGCTGACGCGTAGGCCTCTGCGGTGCGGTGGCCCCCCTCCTTGAGGCTGGCGCGTAGATGCGTCGCCTTGGCCGGCGTCGGAGGCAGCGGGTTGTCGCCCCAGGCGTGCAGGGGCGCTGCGGCTGCGCGGCGGCGCGCCTCCACGACCCCGCCCGACGATATCGCGTAGACGTCGGCGGCGAGGCGGCTGAGCGCGCGGTCGCGCGCCGCCGGCGACCGGAGGTCAGGCGGCTAGCCCCTCCTGTGCGCTGACCTGCCAGGGGCGTCCCGGCGCAAGGGGGCTGGCCGCCGCCGGCCACTTGCCCTTGCGCTGCAAGACGCCGCTGCCGCCGCGTGCGGGCCCCGCGCTGCGCGCCTCGGTCGATCCGAAGGCGGGCCGGGCCTGGCAGAACGGCGCGGGGCCGACGTGCCGGGGCACGGCTGGATGGCGGGGCAAGCCAGCCGCGGGCCCGGCCCAGCGGAACGGCCAAGAGAGGGCCGATGTGCCGGGCCAAGAGGGGGGCCCGACCTGGCGGAACGGCGCGGGGCCGACGTGCCGGGCCACGGCTGGATGCCGGAGCAAGCCAGCCGCGGGCCTAACCCAGCGGAACGGCCTCGAAAGGCCGACGTGCCGGGGCAAGGGGGGCACGACCCGGCGGAACGGCGTGGGGCCGACGTGCCGGGCCATGGCTGGATGCGGGAGCAAGCCAGCCGCGGGCCCGGCCCAACGGAACGGCCAAGAGAGGGCCGACATGCTGGTCCAAGAGTGGGGCCCGACCCGGCGGAACGGCGCGGGGCCGACGTGCCGGGCCATGGCTGGATACCGGAGCAAGCCGGCCGCGGGCCCAGCCCAGTGGAACGGCCAAGAGGCTGACATGCTGGGCGAAGGGGCCGGACCCGGCGGAACGGCGCGGGGCCGACGTGCCGGGCCACGGCTGGATGCTGAAGCAAGCCAGCCCACAATAGGGCCGACGTGCTGGGCCACAGGAGACCGGGCCTGGCGGACCAGGAGGGCCGACGAACCGGGCCGCGGCGAAACGACGAAGCCGAGTCTGGCTACCCTCCCAGAGTTTTTTTTTTTTTTTTTTTTTTTTTTTTTTTTTTTTTTTTGTTTGTTTTCTTCTTTTTTCTCCTCAGAAATTTCGAAATAGTTTCAGAAACTTGTTTCTCGAAAATAAAAATGAAATTTCGTTTGTTGCAGATGTGTCGCTTTAGCATCGCAATCGTTTTTCTAACGCGGCCATGGTTTGTTAGCTTTAAATTTGGGGAATGACAATTGCAGCGGTGCGTTGGGCCAGGCGGATGCATCCATGGAGCCAGAGGCCTCTGAATGTAGCAGTGAGGCCATGCTCGAGAGGCGGGGATGTCGACGCGCCTCTCACGCGGATCGCGGGGTCAGGCGGATGCGGGCTTCCGAGTGTAGCAGCGAGGCCCTGAGAGGCCCTGGCCCGTGGGATTTCGACGCACCTCTCACGCGGATCGCGGGGTCAAGCGGATGGGGCCGAAAGTCTCCGTCAGCGTCGGCTTTCGGGATAGGCGGCTCACAATTCGAGGCCCGAGGCTCGAGGAAGTTGACTTCTAGAGGGGTGTGGGGGGGAACTGAGGGGGGCGAGGACGATGGTGATGAGGGGGAGGAGGAGGAGGATCAATTTCTTCCACCCCTCTCCCGCCTCCTCATCCCCCCCTCCCCCTGTGCCTGCTCTTCCTTCTCATCATCCTCATTTTCCTCCTCCTCCTCCTCCTCCTCCTCCTCCTCCGTCTCCCCATCCGCTTCCTCATCTTCCTCATTCCCGACCCTCCCCCCTTGCCTCTCTCACCCCTGCTCATTAATTGATGTTGCTATACATCCAACATCCCTCCCCCGTCCGTCCCCTCCTCCCCCATCAGTCACATTCCCCTCCCGCTCTCCCCTCCTCCGCCGCCTCCTCCGCCCCTCCCCCCCCGCTAGATCTCAGGGTCATATATAATAAAATTTGTGATTTATACGGGACGGTACGTGCCAGTTAGTTCGGATCTTGGGGGAGGGGGGGGGGGGGGGGGGGGGGGGGGGGGGGGGGGGGGGTATGTTCTGAAGGCATTTGTTTTTTTAGGGGGGGTCGGCCACGAGCGGGGCCGCGCCTGCTGGCAACCCCGCCGCGAATTTTGCCAGTGACGCCTACGTCGGGCAACCACGAGCCTGCGCCTCTCGGCCTCGAGCTCGCGCCGTGTTAGGGAGACTCCGAATAGCAATGCCAATGGAATATGCATCGGCACTGGGCCGGGGAGGGGCGGGGGCGGGCACGTCGAAGCTGCGATGGCGGCCGTGGACGGTCGCCACCTCCACTTCGATATGCCCGAGCCAGTTTCATTCAACCACCCCGCGCCCCCGACCCAATCGCGATGCAGACTCCAATGGCACCGTTATTTGGAATCGCGCGCCACCTTTGCGGCCATCCGCCCCCTGCCCATTATGATGTTGCTTATGCTGATCCTGCCCCTGCGAGTCCTACTTCAGCCCCTTGCGGAACTCATCCAGGCGGGCCATATTATCTTCGCACGATTGGTTGGGCTCTTTCGGTTCGTCCGAGCTGGTTATGCGCTGCGGGGAGAAGTGGGCGCTGAGGATGCGGAGGAATGGGCGAGGAGGAGGAAGAGGAGGAGGAGGAGGAGGAGGAGGAGGAGGCGGGGGAGGGATAGGAGGAGGGGGAGGAGGAGGCGGAGGAGGGGGAGGAGGAGGAGGAGGAGGAGGGGGAGGAGGGGGAGGAGTAGGAGGAGGAGGAGGAGGAGGAGGAGGAGGGATCAGTCTCCGAGGAGTAGCATCGCGAAGGGTGGAGCGAATGCACCGCGCAGAACTCGAGCTGACATTGAAACGGAGCGGACGTCTAGGGCATGCCAGTCTTCGATGAAGGGATGTGGTGATCTGGTATGGCGCGAGTTCGGAATTCGGGTCAATCTATGTGGCGCGCTCGGCTCGGCGACCCGCGTGGTGACGCGGTGCGCCCGCGAGGCGTTCCCGAGGCAGTAGGGCGCGGGGGGTTGTAGGGCACGGGCATGTCGCAGGCATGTCGCGGACATGTCGCGGGCAGGTCGCGGGCAGGGCGCGGACGGGTTGCGGGCAGGTCGCGGGCAGGTCGCGGGCAGGTCGCGGGCAGGTCGCGGGCAGGTTGCGGGCAGGTCGCGGGCAGGTTGCGGGCAGGTCGCGGGCAGGTCGCGGGCAGGTCGCGGGCGGGTCGCGGGCAGGTATGTAGCGGGCATGTCGCGGGTGGGCGCATTGCGATCGACGCGCCATTGGTGACGTTCACGATTTTCAGATCGTTGCCAGGCGGGGCGAGGTGATGTTGATTGGGTTGCGAAGGGGGGGGGAGCGCTTGCGTGGAGGAGGAAGCGGAGACGGGTTACGATGTAGATTTGCGCAGCTGCCGTGCTCAGACGCACGCAAGGGTTGAAGTTCGCACGAGATGCGGCAGCAAACGAACCCCAAGAAATATATTCTCCTCCCAGTTTGACCTGTGAGAAACAGCTGCCATGCGAGCGATGCATAAATTCAATGTCTCATCAACGAACGTACTGTAGTACCACGGGTTTCCATGCCATCTGATATTCAACGTCATGTGAACCCACATGTGCGAATTGGGAAGGTGCGTGCAACCCAGGCATGTCATCAAATGGGGGTGCCTCAAGCAGAGATCCATGAGTTCTTGGCATTTGCCAAGCGCGATGTTGAACGGCTCTGTTCTGATGCTGTCGATGTACGCCACAAGAGCAGCGCCAACTGCCAGCAACAGGTCGCTGTTCTCGAGACGGTCACTCTCCGCGCTACAGAACGATACAACCCAACGCAAAAGGACTCCCGTCTCAGCTGCTTTCGCCTTCATGTGCGGATGGTTGTTGGGCCCCAGCATCGTGGGCAGCAGCGCGTTGAGCTGGTGCGAAAGTTCAATGTCATTGGCAGAACACCAACGTTTGTAGTCATTGAACAGCAACCTAACGCTAACATCCTTGATCTCGTCTTTCGTACCCGTAACGTTGTACATGTTAGTGTCAATAACAACTTCCATCACATAATGCACGTATCTGGAGAACACGCCAAGATATAGCGTGTGCATTGTATCGAGCCGCATGGTGTCGTGTGGGGTCGCGCCCACCTCCTCGCTGAAAATCGGATTGCGACAATGTGTCCAATCGGTCTTCCTGTTCTTTTTGTCGAAATGGGAACGCCAAACCACTGCTACAAACGGCGTTGGCTGAGTTTCGAAAGTGGCTGTATCGTGGAGGCCAACGCTTGGTACGAGACGATCTCCTTTCAGTAGGCCAGGGCCGATGTGAAGAGCGTCCTGTGTGATGACGCGGCCAAGCTTCTTCTTATTTCTGAGCTTGGCTTGTTCCAGTAGTGCTCTGCGCGTGTCCTCGTCTTCCACGTGGACTTCCACCTCGCAGTTCCTGCAGGCGGCCTCATAGTCCAGCGGGCGATCCCCCCAATTGTGATTCTCGACCGTGATCCCATTGAAATCGAACATATTCGCTTTGCGGCACGCACGCATGAAGCATGGACAATGGAAACTAGACCACGTCGGGAAACCTAAACTCGTGCAGAACTCTGCCCAATCAGCTTTGATTTGGCAGAGCACGTACCTGTGCTGCAGCGTGCCCGTCCCACGATTGCCAACCGAATAAGCAGAATCGTCTGGCCAGTCGGATCCGTCCCAGCGCACGTCAGGTCGATTGCCCTCAGCAGCAGCAGCTAAACTCCATCGCAGATGGTTGAGGCAGCCCCAGAGGGTGTCCCAGCCCCTGCATCCGCAGCGACACATCTCACGCTTGCTCAGAACATACAGGACGTGGCGC